CCGCCGCGCCCCCGTGCCCCGCCCCCACTCTTGGCTCCAAGCCCCGCGCCTTCAGCCCACCCTTGCTGCGCAGCTCCCGGAGGCAGGACACCGCCACCCCGTACTGCTCCCGCTCGTGGTTCCGCCGGATCAGGCACTGCTTCCGCGACGGGAGCGCAGCGCCCCCGTCCCCCTGCCCCGCCGCTGCCATGGCTTCCTGGCCCGAGACTGAGGCAACGGCCAATGAACCGCATCCCCTAGCCTGGCGCGGTGCACGCCGGAACCGGCCGGTCCGCGCCGCGAGGTATGCTGGGATGTGGAGTCCTCCCCTCGCATCAGCTCTGCTGCTTCCGCGCGCTCCGTCGCCCCGCTACCTCCTGGAAGATGTAGTCCTAGTCCGCCGGGCTCGAACGGCCCTCGCCCGCCCGCCTTAAAGAGACAGGAGCACGAGTGAGTTACCCTCTAGTCCCCGGCTGTCAGACGCTGCAAGGTGGTTCTTTGTGAGGATTAGAGTTTCACAAGACAGGGCCCAGCTCTGATCTGCTAAGGGCCTGGGTTCTTATCAGCTAAACACGCACAGGCACAATGCAATAGTATATACGCATAGGCAGGGAGGTTCTTTGGGTACCTATGATACCTTTTGTTACACCAACTAAATAATAACTAAAAATGAATAGTACGCACACGAGGCATTGTCAGCATCAAGAATGCAAACGCCGTGAGTCGCATCCTTCCAGCGATTTGTTACAAAGACTCACTAATAACACATTTAGGTTCTTTTTTTTTTACCTTTTATGCACAGCTGTGAGGTGATGGCTGCAGGTTGGTTTTAATGAAAGCTGAAATCGCTTGACTCCAGGACTTCAGGCTATAAGAAAAAATCCGACTGGTTGAGCAATTAAGTTGTGACTGTTGGCAAGAGTGCAAATGTATATAAAGCAAGGTGCTATGGTAACAAAGCTCATAAAAATAGTGAAATGTATTTGTAATGCATCGTGTTTTGCACATGGATTAAATGGAGTTATAAAAAAGTGCATCTGCTGTGAACTATACTATACACAAAGAAGAATATTTGCACAGCAAGGAATCACCTCTTACAAACATCAGTATAGCCCAAATATGCCAGGAAGGAGCTCGCAATGCAGGTAGGATCTACGCTCACTTGAGCAGTCCAGTGAAGTCAAGAATAAAGTTACACACTTGCACAGTTTGCAAAATCTGACTCATTATTTGTGCTTTTTAGCACATGGCAGGCTTCTGGGAGCTATACAAATGAAATAATAATGAATAATAAATAGTTGTGTGTAAACAAAAACGAGGAAGTGATGCACAGCGAGCCAACAACTGCACCACTGAAATCAATAAGACTTTTGTCAATGGTTTAAGTGGTGCAGGAACAGGCTTTTAAATCCTTTTTACGGAGTTTAATCGAGGGCCTGATAGTGTTCTCGTTCCCGTTGACAGCACTATTGCTTTACTTATGAAAAGAGCCCCGCTGAAGTCAGCTGACTGGAGCAGGTAGGATTTGTTGCTGTGCTGCAACCAGTTATTGTTATGGGATTGTGACGGACTTTAATCCTGCAAGCTAAACTGTGCAGGCAAGTTCTTAGCACATAAGTTGTTTGAAATGCATGTCGTTTATAATGGGAGATAATGAGTGCGGAGCATGCACCATGCATAGGCATGAACCATCAGTGATTAATAACTGGTTTTAAAGACCCTGCAGCCAAAACAAAACCATAGTGATTAGTAGCTGACACCGGACCTTGGTTTTATTCTGGTTGCAGGGTCTTTAAAAGCATCAGTGATTAATAACTGACAGTGGACCTTGTCTTAAAGACCCTGCAGCCAGAGCAACCTCAACACTGATGTGAAGGCCTAGGCTGACAAGGGTCTTTGGGTAAATCTGATATCTTTTATTAGACCAACTTAAATAGCTGGAAAACAATTTTTAAGCAAACTTTCGGGTTCAAAAGCCCTTCATCAGGCTGAGGAAGTTTCAGCAGTTGGTGTGCGCTCTTCCTGGATGGAATGAAAAGTGCTTTACTATTCATTGCACCCAGGCAGAGCACACAGCAACTGCAGATGGATTTGGAATTAGTTTTGGCTAATTTGACCTCGGCTACAAATTAAATAAAAAAAAAAAAAAATAGATGCTTCTTCAGCCTGACAAAGGGTATTTATAGCCAAAAGCTTGCAAAGAAGAATGTTCCCAACTGTTTGAGTTGGTCTATCTAATAAGAGATCAGAAGTAAAACCCTTGTCTGCCTATGCCCTTAGACCAACACAGCTGCAACGTACACCCCTCTCTTTTATTAGAGTTGGTCTAATAAACATGTGGAGCCCTCTTCATGCTGATTAGCGTTGATATCTTTAATGCCCGCAGGAAAACGACCCTCGTCCACTCGGGTCGATCGATAGCAGGGCGGTCCGCTGCTTCTGCCTGAGGCCGGCGGGGCGCGGGAGGCGTTCTGGGCGGCCGGGGCGGGGATGGATTAGGCGGGTCTGGAAACATGGCCTCCTCGGAGCAGGCAGAGCCGCCCAGCCAGGTAAGCGGCGGCGGAGCCTTCGCCTTTCCCCCGCTGGGGCCGTGTCTCTCCCAGGCTGCAGGGGCGCGTGCGACGTCTTCTCCCCCGGCGCCCCTGAGGCGGGCGGGGCAGGCTGCAGGGCCTCCCGCCGTGGGGCCCGGGCACCCCCCTGGAGGCGGGGGCGGCCGCGTGTGGCCCGGTTGCTGGAGGAGCAGCGCCTCGGGGGGCCCGAGTGGCTTTGCCTGCGGCGATTGCGGGCTCCAGTGAGGTCTCAGGTGGCTGAAAACGGTCACCCCTTACCCCCAAAAGTGGGTGAGAGGCGAAGCACAAGGCCCATTGGGGTCCCTCCCCACCCAAGCAGGTGCCACGATTCGCCAGCACCTCGAAGAGCGTGAGGGGACGAGTCGTAGCCAAGGTGGGGTTGTCAAAGCTGATGGCAGCCTCGTGACAGGGGCAAGCAGCGTGTGAGAGACCCTGTGAGCGAGCAGTGCTGCGGGGACCTCTTGCGAAGGAGGAGGCTACAGAAATAAGAGCTGCCCTAGGGTTGATGCACAGTGGACTGGTTCGTGAGACCGGTGGGAGTTGTCCGCGGCTCTGTGTCTAACTGGGGGCAGCGTCAAGTGGGTCTGGCATCTCTCCCGGTCTTTTGCCAGGCGTGTGTCCTGGTCTCGTACTGTTCTGTGCTTTAATTAGTAACTTGGATGATAGAGCCGAGTGCACGCTTATTAATTTGGAGGATGAGACCGAGCCTTATGGGCAGAAGAAACTTTGGAGGGAAAGGATGAGGATTTAAAATGACCTTGAAAACTTTGGGGGGAGGGAAGGTCTGAAATGAAACGGATAATATTCAATAAGGAATAGTGCAAGATAGTGCACTTTGGAAGGCGCAATTAAATGCAAAATGAAGATTGACTAACGGTGTTGCAGTATTGCAGGAAAAAAAACGGAGACCTAGCTGTACTGGATCACAGTTTGAATGTGACTGAACAATGTTGTAGTGTTGGAACAAGCTGTGTCATATTGGAGTCTATGAATAGGAGCGTCTGTGCTGGGCATGAAAAGTGGTCAGCGCTGGTAAGGTGCTTTATCCAATCCTGGGCGCTTTGAGAGACATGTGGACCAGTTGAAGAGAGTCCAGAGGAGAACAGCAGGCATGGCTAGGTATCTTGAAAATATATAACATATAACGAAAGGTTGGAAAAATTGGGGTCATTTAGCGAAAGAAAGAAGGCAAGGGGGATTTGAGAACAATCTTCGGATACAAAAGAGGTCTGTTATAAAGAGCAGAGTCATTAGTCATTCTCTGTGGTCACTTAGAACAGGACAAGAAGTAATGGATGATTTAGATTGGATATTAGGAATAACAGGCTACCTCTCAAGGTGTTTAAGCAGTGGAAGAGATCATCTAGTGAGACAGTGGAATGAGTCATTGAAAGGGTTTCAGTGCAGTTACACAACACTTGTTTAGGTTGATTTAGATGCAAGAGATACTGCCTGGGGCAGGGGCTTGGGTTAGATGACCTCCAGATTCCTTCCAGCCCTGGTTTTCTGTAATTCAATGATAATGAGAGACAAGGAATAGAAAATAGGTTTCAGCTGGGATTTGAAACCAGGTGGAGTGTTGGTTAAGATGGGAAGCAACAGGAGCAGCTGTAGAGAAAGCTTGGGCACCAACAATGTGCAAGGCCTTTTCTGTGAGGAGTTCAGTGTAAATATCTTCACAAACCAAGTGGGAAGAGGAGTAGTGGCACATAAGGCCCAGGAGACTGGCTCTGGCAAAGCCAAAGAGGGTATTTAAAAACTATGGGGAGAATTTTTATTTTAAAGTGGATCCTGAAGGGAATGGGGCAGCCTGCAGAGGAGATGGAGAGCTTGAGCTATTGTTTATACATGCAGGTTTACCTGTGATGGTACCTGAGGAAACCACAGAGGGGGGAGCTGCAATAGGAAAAAGAGGATGGGAAATGTGAAGGTCTGGAGAAGGGTTTCAGGCAGCAGGAAGGAAACTGAGGGAGTTCAGGCCTGCCACCAACGCAGTTACAGCTCTGATTTGTGTTGTCTGCAAATTTGCAGTGGTTTGACGAACATTGAGACTCCTGGGTGGATCCCAGTAGCTAAATTCAGGTTAGGTTGAGCCAGTTAGGAACAGATTCATACTAAACTGAAATAGAATGGAGCTAAATTATTTTATATGTGTATGTATCCTTTTACTTGAAGCTGTGTAACTGTCCAAAGATAAAGGTAGCAGGTTAAAGCTAAGGTTTGCTGGACTTGGTTTGTTACTGGCCTTGCTGGTGTGTTATGGTATGGGCATTATAGGGCAGACCTGGTCACTGTGGGTAAATGCCTGGGATGGACAGGAGCTGACCGGTGGCTCAAGGGGCTCTACAGAGAAATCTGGTGAATGACTGCACCCCCTGGAAAGTTGGCTTGCTTAAGAAATAGTAAGTTCTCATGCGGTTGTATATGGTGTTGTCTTAATTCATTCTTCTAATGAGTCTTCTTATTTCAGTTATCCTGAACTGCATTGCCTTGAAAGAAAGTATGATGGTTTGGAATGGAAATGTCTCCTTTTGTGCAGGCCCAATAAATATGACTTAGCAGCTGGGGCACAAGAACTTCCTGGGTCTTAACTCCAGCGCTGGCATTGACTTGTGTGATGCAAGGCAAATCATTTCACTGGCTTCTCTCTCTGCTTCCCCCATAAAAACGTTGATATAGTGGTGCTCAACTAGCTCATCAGTCAACGTCTGTTGGGTTTGAGATGGGATGGAATCCTTCTCTCTCCTATACAGCCTGCTGGAGGGTAATTTTGTTCCACACAGGGCAATTTATATGTACTTGTGTGTGTGAGTGACTTAATTTCATTGGGGAGCAGATAAATACGTTTTTTGGCTGTGCTGGAGGAATGGCAACTGCTGCCTGAAGCCATTCTGGGTGGAAGGGGCTGGTTAACCCCTTGCTTGCCGGACTCCACTATCATATGTGTAGAGGTGCTGGCATTGCAAACAGTCATAAAGCAGTTGACTCCCTTTAGGCTATTGGAATGTCATCATTCCAGCTGGCCACCGCTGAGATGTAGGGCAGGCCTGGAGGTGTGTTTAGACTCATGTAGGTGAGGGAGCACTGAACTGTGGTTAAGGAGCAGCTATTGCCATTCTTCAGAGAAACAGCCCTGCTTGTGCATGGCATTCTTTTCCCTCCTTATATACTAGTCTGTGCACTCACATGCAGCCTGCCTGCTGTGTCTGTCTTTTCCAAGTCCTATCAGCTTCTGCAGCTGATTGCCCCTCTTAGAATTTTATTGTCAGTTCTCTATGCTACTGGCAGTGTGTCCTGCACGAGGTTTGATCCTGGGAAGTGCTAAGTGCTCTCAAATTTCATTGACTTTTTTTTAGTAAGGCAGGGTTTGGGAGAGAGAGCGAACAAAGTCTCTAATCTCGGACAAAGCAGCAGGAGCAGGGGGCATTGTTGGGCTAAGGTAAAAATCATAACAAATCTCCTTACTACTAATATATTGATGTAGACTCTGATCTTGTTCTCACTGAATTCATGGAAATTTTGACATCACCCTCAACTAAGGGCAGAGTGCAGACCTTAATAACTTACGCTAAAAGTGTTTACTTTTTACCATCAACACTCTTTGTTTCATACTTTGGCACAAGCAGAAAGGTGTATGGTATAACCCTTCTTGACCTGCTAGTGCTTAGTCCTTAGCATTTTTCCTGGCCAGGATGTAATTAGCTCTAATAATGAAAAGAGAACCATCGGTTTCCTTTTAGTTTCTCATCTGTTTCTACTTAGTTCTATTTTATAGTGCCCACATATTAGTACATTGCTGCAGTGTGTTGGTTATAAGCAGTGCATAGGGATGTTGGGGTCCAAACAACATTTCTTGATATGGTTATATACCCATTTTCAAAAAAGCCGTAACATTTCTGGTAGACTTCTCAAGCCTTTGACAGTGCCTTTTTGAAATAATCAAATAACATCAAAGATCTTCTTTTCCCCCAAGTGTTCCAATAATAAAGATAGGGAAAAGAAATGGAGGAAGGATGATGAAATGAATAGGGCTGTTTTAAAACATTAGTTTCCTAGTTTTGCTTAGGACATCAGTATTTCTCTGATGGTGAACTCTATGGTACTGAGCTTGATGACTGAGCCTTGCAAGCCAGCAGCCTTGGCTTCCAGTTTTCCAGCTAACTGTGAATGCTTTTGCTGCAGGAGAATCTTGAGCATCTTTGAAATATTTGGCAATGGTGCTATAGGATTAGATAATATTTTAAATTTTTCAAGCCACTTGATTTGGTACACAAATGACACCTAATTAGTTGTATAATTATGTACAGAAGCTGAGAATCCACTAACCCAGAAATCAGCATGTGGCAAGTCTGTGCGAGTCATAAAAGACTTGAAAGTCAATGGCTGAGTGGGTCTTGGTGCTGAAATGGGTACTGCAGTGATGATGGTGGGCAGGGTTTCTCTTTCCTGAAGTAAAATGCTGCAGAATGGATTATGCTCAAGGGACCAACCATGTCTAGTTTAATGTGGAGGCCAAGCTGGAGAGATGATGTTATGAATGGCACTGTTGGCCTAGCACCTTGTGCTCAGAGAAGTAAAAGGAGCTGTAAGACCCAAGGATTAAAATGTTTTATGTGCATCTAAACTTGCTTTTCAGTTGCATCAAACCCCTCTGGTCTGAAACCAAACCCAGCTGTTTGGTCCCTCCCACCGTCTTGGAAAAGAGACAACTAAACCAAATTTTAGAGCTCTTGAAAGGTCCTTATTTGTATGCATAGAGACTTAATTCCTCCATCTGCTCCAGAACCTCATCAAGACAGCCTCCTTCCAGGCCTGCCACTGTCTCTGACCTCTCCACTGAAACTGCCAGCAACAGATGATCTGGCCACTGGCGTCCACCAAGCTAATTTTTAAAGTCTGCTAAATAATCATCAGATGGAAGCAACATGTGTTCTTTCCTGCCCTGGCTTGTCTTCAAGTAGTGGTCTGTCTTATAAGGC